CGAGAGCGTCATGGGACATCTCGCTCCGCGCGACGCCTTGAACACCTTTGTGTTCGAGGAATTTTAGAGGAGAAGAAAAACCCTAGTACCCCTTGTCTTGTGCATGCACACGCTTCATTGGCTCGTGTCCAGGTTGAGCAGCATTGATCAAAAGAAATGCACACTTTTATTCGTCTTTCGATGTATCGCGATACTACGTGTTACAAATTATTTTATTTTTTGGTTTGCATAAACACGTAAATCATATATTACTTCTCCTTTTCATATACGGCACCTTGTCAATTTTGTCCGTGCAAACTGAATTATTGTATTCGCACGTAATAAAGCCGAGAAAAAAATACATTGTACCTTCCATATTTTCGCGACATATTTGGAACTTTGCATCCCATGATCCATTACTGCAACCGCTTATCAAATGCTAAATTAAATTTCGATATATCTTATATCGAACCTGAGAGTTCATTAGAAGGAAAAAGTTTACCATAATATCAACCCGCCTTAAATAAATACAAATATATATATTTTTTTTTTTTAATATTTTTTAAATTATTTTTTGTCATACTGTCGTCCCATTGGCCAAGTTCGATACCTTACCTGCACGAAAAGAACCGGTGAATTATCGAGCGTTACTTTCTTCGAAGTGGCCATCTAAGGTCACTTTGAAGAGATGTTTCTCTTCGAAGTAAAAAAATCTAACAATTTTTTTTACTTTTGCTTAAAGGGATACTACAACAAAATTTCGGCGCTCATTTTTTGGTTTATATGTGTTCAAAGAAACAGCATCACATCGAACATACCAATGTCTTGTTAAGAAAAGTCACGAAAATGAATTTTAAAACGAACTAAACGATTAGCAAAGAGCACCTGGTGGATGTCGCTAACGCCTCGCTTGTAATGCCCGTCTAGGAACCTTGACAGCTAGTGACGGAGGTTGTCTCGTCTCCGGCCACGACGAGAGAAGAGGGGCAGGAGGAACTCCCCTCTTCCCGAGAATGCCTTTTGTGCGTCGCAGAAATCGCTATTGTCCCCCTACAAGATTACAGAAGATCAACCCGTCACTCAAAATTCATACAAAAGCAGCCGCTTCGGTTGCTGGAACGACTAGGCCATCCTCTCGACGTCAGCCTCGCCGCAGCTTTGCACGTCTTGAGACGACCTACGTCACGATTGCGTTGGATGTCACGTGGTCTCCGCTGGGCCTTCTCCGAGCGCTTGCCAGAGTGGGCCGTTTATAACGAAAAATACAGCCACCAGGCTAAAAATACAAACGTGCGATTGTCATTTACGGATATTGTGGATCCTATTCAACCTATTTTTGAACACAACGGGAATATTCAAATTTCGTTGAAGTATCCCTTTAATACTACTTAGAATCGCTCCCTAAGGTTAATAACTGAATAAACTTGCCTTAGTAGTTTTTCCTAGGCAATGGCAGTCGCCAATAAAATTCGAGAAATATGAGCATCGTTTATCCCCTCAGCTCGGAGCCAGAACAAGCGGCCAGGTGGCATGCCCACGTGCTGGGGTTGACAAAGTAGAAAACGCGTGCTGAGCTCCGGGCATTGTTAGAGTTCAGCTATCCTCATCACAGCAGTGGTTGGACACGAGCCACTACCCGAGTGTCCGCCGAGGCATTCATTGTTACGAGCTGAAGTCGAGTGCTCACGCAGTTCTCGTGCGCAATCCATGCATGAGCAGCGCTCGAGTGTCGTCAGTCAAGTGGTTCCGATTCCACCAGTCACGTCATTCAGCTTTCCAAAGGCGAGACTGAAAGAAAATAGTCCCCTTTTATCTTCGCAATTTCACAATTTCACAACGAGAAAGAAATTTCTGAATCAGTGGCGGTCTGTGCGAGCATACTTGTGCCAGGCTGGGACCAGTACGAACCGGCAAGGTCAGGAACGTTCCAACCCGATGACGTTTCGTGACCCCTTCAAAGGGGCCGTGGAATGACTCTAATGATCAAAGAACCTGGTGCGTGCCACTTTCGCTTAACTTTCGGTTAGTAAAACAAAAGAAAAAAAAAAGAAAGAAAGACAGCACGTTTTGAGTTTCCTAAATGTCGCGAGTGCGCGGAGAAATCGCGAAGAGGAAAGGGGACTATTTTCCATCCCGCAGCCGCTTATGCCGGCCGAGAAAACTACGCGCGTGACGTGAACTGGTTGAAAGTGTATTGAACTAGCAAGCTCAGTAAGTGTCTGCTCGATTTGAGGCTAATTTTTTCAAATGTTGTCGTGAAAACGTGAAGAGACGCGTCAAAAGCCTGATAGTCTTGATTTTTTTTACGCAAAGTTTTATGGCGTGATGTACCCGAAGCGAAGAAAAGCGCTCCCTCCCTAGTTCCCATAGCCAGCGACACGAAACTGGATGTTTCCGTGGGTACCCCCCTTGAGTCGGTTTTTCGGCCGCAAACCAGAGAACGGTGCGTATTTCAGCGGCGCATCAAACTTAAATCTGTTTCGCTTTTTTTTTTTTAACCAAAACTAAGGCGCCAAGTCAAAAATCGTTTACGGATCCTTATTAATTGTGCAACTCCAAAGCGGCAGTTCTCGAGTAATTGTAGCTCTCGACATACAATGGATCTCTTGACTCGTGTCTGCCGAGTTAAGTTATTTAACGCGTAAAGATTCATTATTGGACCTTCTGACTCGTTGGACGTTTTGACTCGTTGGACCTATTGACTCGCCGTGGATCTTTTGACTCGTTGGATCTCTTGGCTCGTTGGATCTCTTGACCCACCTTGGATCTTTTGACTCGGGTCTGGCGAGTCAAAAGATCCAACGAGTCAAGAGATCCATTATTGGACCTTTTGACTCGTTGGATCTTTTGACTCGTTGGATCTCTTGACCAGAAGCGCTCCATCCTCACCCTCTTAGAAGTTCCTGGCTACGCCACTACTATCAACAGCACTCAATAGATAGTCAACATTATCAAGATGAACGACATTTCTTTTATTTTATGCACCATATAGGCAGTGTTTTTGTCTTTATATGCATGCAGCCAAAGCACACGCTGTAGAAAACACTTGTGTGAAGCCTGCGTTCACAATGCGGTCCCCGTCAAACTTTCAAGGCGTTAACGAATTCCACAAATTAAATTTTCAACGAAACGAATTCGTTTTGCAAAACGCTGGCAAACTTACGTTGCGTTTTACATCATTCACCTTTGTCGTCCGATGAATCAGTAGTCAGGACTACACAAACCTCAATGAGCTTGTCGTTTGTTTTCTTGCCGTTGGGGCGATCGCTGCCCAAGCAGCACCAGAAAGTGAATTTCGATCGGCCGACGGTTGGCCAGTGTCTGGACAGCTTGGCCACTTTAAGTGCTTGGCCACCGGAGACATAAACAAGGCCGGCAAGGGTCCGGCCACAAACTAGCTGTTTTTAGCTTGGCTGCCGGAGACATAAACACTGCCGGCAAGCGCCTGGCCAGAAGTGCTCATTTTCAGCTTGGACGCCGGAGACATAAACACGGCCGGCAAGTGTTCGGCCAGCAGTGGTGATTTTCAGCTTGGCCGCCGGGGACATAAACACGGTCGGCAAGTGTTTGGCCAGCAGTGGTGATTTTGAGCTTGGCCGCCGGGGACATAGACACGCCCGGCAAGTGTTTGGCCACAAGTGCTGATTTTCAGCTTGGCCGCCGGAGACATAAACACGGCCGGCAAGTGTTTGGCCAGTAGTGCTGGTTTTCAGCTTGGCCGCCGGAAACATAAACACGGCCGGCGAGTGTTTGGCCAGCAGTGCTGATTTTCAGCTTGGCCGCCGGAGACATAAACACGGCCGGCAAGTGTTTGGCCACCTGTGCTGATTTCCACCTTGGCCGCCGGAAACATAAACACGGCCGGCGAGTGTTTGGCCAGAAGTGCTGATTCTCAGCTTGGCCGCCGTGGACATAAACATGGTCGACAAGTGTACTGCCAAAAGTGCTGATTTTCAGTTTCGACGCAGGGACACCCATAATCTAAACTTTCATCGCGTTGACGAAACTTTGTTATAACGACGGGCAGCGAGAGAAGCATCACGAGCGAGTGGTTGGCAGAATATTAGTGCGTGCATCGCGCGAACACTGTTAGCGCAAGCAAACGATCACCGTTTTATTCAGTTTTTTTTTTTCGTTAGACTTGAAAGGCTATTGTCTTAACTAGCACTGTCGTGTGATATGTTCATTTGGAACATTATACTAGAAGTGGGAAAATATTGTGCCCGTCGTTCTATGAAAATAAAATACGAAAGCAGCGCCGACGTCATCTTCGCGTTAACTATACCGCTCTGTCGCCGCGCGGCACTCTTAGTGCGAATGCCACATCCGCGATTTTTCGGTTACCGCTCCACATATTTACTTCCCAACTGCACTCGAAGAAAAAAAAGTTGTAGTCCGGTGCATCGGGCGCACGTGCTCCCCTTTCCTGGAAGACGCTCCCTCCGTTACCCAGCCAGTGTACCTGTATACCGACCATAAGCCCCCTTCTCTGCCTTAAAAACCTATAGACGCTTTGCAGCAGCTGTGCATGGACGCCGCCATAACTGACCTTCAGTTTTTGCTTTCCTCTTATTCCGTTTATTTCACTTCATCATTGCCATAGCAGGCCAGGTTATATCCATATTAGATTCAACTGTGTCCTTTTCTAAAGCATCGGCCTTTGTAGAGGATCGTCAACTACCGTTTCAGTTGCTCGGCATCTCGGTAAGACAAGAGAAGGTCAGCAATGGCGGCTGTAATTTGGCGCGTGTGCAAAGCGTCTATAGGAACCGTGCGGATCTAATTCAAGCCCCGACCAGGGCGCCCCTAGCGGCAAACGGGTCCGTCGCATCGGGCATCTTCTGGCAGTCGCTGCGTTGGTTGTGCGTTGTAGTGGGTTAGCGCTGTGATTTCTGGATGACTATTCCGCACCAAGAAAGCCGCAACAAGTGCTGCCTGGTCGGCTGAAACAGTACGTCGAAGATAGCGCACGGCACGAAGTACTACATCGTCCCTTCGAAGCCGTACGAGGCGGAGTACTGCGCGACCTGGGTACGACTTGTGCGTCCATACAGGTTAATGGTGTTTCTTACCTTCCAGTTCGTGCTTTGTTTAAGCTGCTGATGTACCGGGTGAAACAAGGAGACGGTAGGCTCTTTAAATCGACCGGAAAATTCGGTTTCTTAACCTATCGCGCTACGACTTTGTGCAGCGTTGCCCACAGATGGTGCATTTTTTTCGTAAAATTTGGAAAGAGCGAACTTACCTGAGGAAAAAGTAAAGAAAGAAAAAGGCTTAGCTCCTATGGAAACGCAGCGACGCCACCGGTCTGCAATCAACACGGCGCCGTTTCGCACGGTAGACAAGAGATGGCGCAAGCGGTCGCGACGCCAACTGCCGCCACCGAACGAGCAGACGACGCCGAGAACCGGCGTTTTTAGCAGACAAGGAACTGCAGTTGCTTGTTGTTACCGCGCCTGTTTTTATTTCTGCAACTGTCGCCGTTTGCGGAACGCGTGCCGCTTTTGATTCGAAAAGATCGTCTGCTAAAAACGCTGGCCCTCGGCGCCGTATGCTCATTCGTTGGCGGCGTTCGTTGCGCCATCTCTTGTCTACCGTGCAAAACGGCGCCGTGTTGATTGCAGACCGGTGGCGTCGCTGCGTTTCCATAGGAGCTAAGCCTTTATCTTTCTTTACTTTTTCCTCAGGTAAGTTCGCTCTTTGCAAATTTTACAAAAAAAAAATGCACCATCTGTGGGCGACGCTGCACAAAGTCGTAGCGCGATAGGTTTAGAAACCGAATTTTCCGGTCGATTTAAAGAGCCTACCGTCTCCTTGTTTCACCCGGTATAATACAGTTACATTTTTTTCTCTTCTAGCGACGATAGAACAGCATCGACACCGACGGCAAACTCTATGCAGCGAATACTTCACCGGAATCGAGAAGCGGAATGCGGTCGCCCTCCTAAGCCTACCCTTCGATGTTTCCATCAGCCAACAGGAAGATAATAAAGAGAATCGCGGAACGGCGCGAAAAAAAATCGCCCAGTTATTGTCAAGCTGATTCAGAAATAAACGTACATAATTACCACAGTCCCCTCAACGCCAACTAAGTTTTTTTGCGGGCGCGCTTAATTTTGTTTGCAGAGTACGGCGCTCCGTGGCATCCACTTGTCCGTCGAAACGGACCTCCTTCACGTCGTACACGCGGCCAGATTCATGAAAAAGTTTTCTCTTCGTCATATTGGCACCACGGAAGAAGCTTTCTGGATTCGTAACCGCCTTAAACCCCGTCGTAATCACGCCGGGAACCTGTCCGCTGTGCTGCTAATCGCCACTGCTTCCCCCCGATGATTCTGCACCGGCTACCGAAGAAGCTTTCCGGATTCGTAGTCGCCCACCGTCCTCTGTGCTGTTCGTTGCTATTACTTCGCGATGATTCTGAGCCGGCGGCACCGGCTTCCGAAGGAACTTTCCGAACTCGTAACTGCCTTAAATTCCGTCGTAATCACGACGGGGACGCTGTCCGCTGTGCTGTTCGTCGCCATTGCTGCCCGATGCTCCTGCGGCGGCTACCGCCAGGTCGCGGCGAACAATAGGCGACCGCCGCGACACGGTCGGCTTGCTCGCTTCCTATAGGTGTATCAATGCACTCAGCTTAGTAAACCGCCACGCTAGCCATGCACCCCGATCAGCTTGTGCTTGAATCGGATAAGATTGGATATTTCAGACTTTGTGTTTTGGAAGAGCCTAAACAAGACGTCTCTCATATATTGATTAAACTTAAGCTAGTCTCAGTAATGTTTCATATAGGTGCTAGGATACTGATTTCCTGAGCCAAGGAAAGCTAAAAGCTTCGGTTAAAACCGCAACGGAAATGTTATAAATCGAGCCACACGTAAAAGAAAAAGAAAATGAACATCTCGACCTAGATGTGCAGGACGCTGGTTTTGTTGTTAACAACGTGATTGTTGGCGGGTGGTGGGCAACGCCGTGACGCTATTGACGCTATCGTGGTGATTGACGCCAGTGATGCTCGGCCGTACTACACAGTAAAAGTATTTACACCTTTAAGGGTGTAAAATGGGTGTTGTAGCAACCTACACCCTCGGCTACACCTTTTTAACAACCTAAAACTAGGAATACAACCTCATAATTTTACCGGAAAAGGTGCTGTTTCGTGTTACACCCTACATTTAGTGAAGAACGTGAGAAGGGTGTAGAAGAGGGTGCTAAATAAATAATGTGAAATGGTTTTGGAAAGCTTATATATGGCTCTGTACATAATGTACAGGTAAGATTTCTGCTTGAAAAGCAACAGTTGTTAGCAGTCTAGTTTCTTATAATGTCAGCTGTAATTCATGCAAATAGCTGATAATTAAGTGCCTCTTTTGCATACAATTTTTATGTTTGAAAACAAAATTTTATATATGAGTTCATATTTAATTTTCTTACAAATCACTCCATGCTCAGAAATCGGAAAGTAGGGTGAAATGCTCTATACTAGCATTTTTTACAAATATTGATTGATGGAAGTGTACAGTAAGAAAATCAGTTAGTCTTGAGTTCATATCTGGCAACATGAAATCAAAATATTGTGAAAATGTTTGACAAATATTCATGACATGCTGCTAGAACCTGTCTCATGACCATGTCAACCCGAGTAAAATATTCATTTGAGAATATGGTGACATGCACAAAAACTAACACACAGAAAGAGGCAAATCCCATAATAAACCAGGCCGAGACATACCATAAAAAAATGGCCTATGGTCGTCTATGGGAAATTCAATGGGAGGCTATCACCCCCTGTAGCTTCGCATGGTCGGCCTTAAAAATCTATAGATACAGCTACAGCCAGCTATAGAAAAGTTTAGGGCCCTGTGTCTAAAGTCTCAGGGCTATGTTTCAATAACAACAACAACAACAACAATAATAATAATAATAATCAATAAATTAGTGTTTTAACAGTGTCCAGGGACATCCAATTGTTCTTGCGGGCGCAGTGCAATAGAACGAACAAACAGACGCTTGCGCGCTCGCAGTCGCACACATACACGCGCGCTCGCAGTCGCACACATACACGCGCGCGCGCACGTACACACGCATGCACACGCGCAAACCCACGCCCGCGCGCAGACGCACACGCACGCACAACCGGAAGCGCACACGCGCATGCACGTGGACGCATCCACAAGCGTGCGCACAAACACACGCACGCGCCCGCACACACGCACACGCAAACAATTACGACGAAGGAAGCGTTGCTTGAGTTAGTTTCGGTTTCGGTTTACACAAAAAAGAAAAAACCTAAAGTTTAAATAAAACCTAAGATTTACTCACTTTTTGTAATGTTTTACATTATTATTTTAGTGAAATTCTTATTGTTAGTAATATAATTTATTTTGCTTAGTATAGTTCTAAAAAAATAGCAATAAATAAAAAGGAAAAGAGACTCTTGAAGACTGCGCAAGACCATCGCTATCGCAATCAGCTTCCGTTGGGCTCGTTTGAATGGTCGTTGAAATTCCAGAAGCTTCGGAAATCTCCTTTTTTTACGTTTTAGCCGTTTTAGTGGATATTTTAAATATCTTCCTTGCGAATACCGTGTTCAAGAATAACAATCGATGACTGAGAGCTGGGAGACGCTGCGTCTTGGCAACGCCCGTAAGTTCACAACCGCCCATGCACGACTCGTGCAAACGCCGGTTAGCAACTTTCTTTTGTTTCTGCGAAGTGGGCTGCTGTTTCAAACTTTGTCGTGTACCGTGTGCTTGCTAAGCTATGCTTGATTCTAACTATGCTTCTGCCCTGTGTTATTTCGTTATTTGAAAAGGGCGTATCTTCTTCAAAACCTGTGGCTCGCTCCGCAGTGTGAGAAAGATTCCCGCGCGGCGGAACCTTGAGCATGTTCTTTGCGCCGTTGTGCGGCGCTCGTCCGACGACGCTTGTGCGGAGCGTTCAAGTGCCGTCTGACGGCAGTTCAAGCATTCAGTCGCCGTCCCAAAGTGTTAATCACAGGTCATGCTAGTTCTTATATCTTGTCCTAACAGCCGCTCGCCACCGATTTGTTTCATAAAGCGGGAGCGAGAAAAACGTTAAAAGAGCGAGCATGCAGCATGATTTTTTGCATAAGCTAATGCCTGTGCGTAGAGACGCGCGGTCGCTTCGTCATTATTCCGAGGGTAAAAGCGCTAAAAACAACGGACAAACAACGCCCTGTGTTGTTTGTTTCTTTTACTTGTCCGTTGATTTTAGAGGTTTCACCCTCGGAAATTAGGTCTCTTCGCGTTTACCGAACCGGCACACTTTTTAAGTTTACGATTGTGTGATGCAAAAAATAAAAGAAGTTTAGATGTCACGTTTTTTAGTAATGGCGAAAGCCCTTACAAAAATCAGAGCAGCTAGAAAAAACAAAAACATGAAAAAAGGCGGAAAAAATTAAAGGGGCTCTTCGAAGCTTTCTGTGATCGTCTGTTTATGTTGTTATATTGCATAGTAGGTGCAAGTTAATATGTATACAAAGTTTTAGATTACAAAACCGTTTATTAAGCAGGTGGCAGAAGTAATATATCGGGACTATTTTCTCTTGGAAGACGATCCCCCATTCCCTGCCCATCGCTAAAACTTGACCAATGGAAATGCTGCATCTCGCGGTGAATGCGAACGTTATTATTGCAACACTTTTTAAGCTTGTTGTAAATTAGAGTTTGAGAAAAACGTAAACTGATTGTGGTGCGGGAAACATAGTCCGCAATTATCGCTCCAATACCAGCCAACTATGTTTTCTCCCCGCAAGCTTGTTGCTAGTGGGCGATGCGTCGGCGCGTCGGCTCGTCTGCTTCCCGGGGCGTCTGCAGGCGTGCGTTTGCGGGACACATGTTCCTCCTTTCCGTGGATCCCGACTCCGAAGCCAGCTTTGCGATCCTTCCACGTCAACGAGTCAAACTTTTCCATGTCATCTGTGGAATGCGACTGCGTATTGCAGTAGCAGCGCGACGGTGCGGTAGGACGAACGACGACTGCCGAGCACAAAGTCCGGGCCCTTTGACGACGGTCCGCGCGTGTTCAAGAGATTCCTCCGCGGGTCGGCGGTCGGCCGCGTTGGTGACGCGCAGTGACGCCGGAATCCTTCGCTTGCTATTGGCTGACGCGTAAAGAGATGCCCCTCCCGTTTTCCGGGCTCATCTCAGAAAGGGGGGCGTGCCGTGGACTTTGATAGCAATTTTAGTAGAGAAATCCGCCGCGCATGACCGTAATTTTATGATTTTTAGGATCCTTAGGGCCTGTAGATTGAGTTACCGCCATAAATAGATCATCGCATAACGATCCGGAGGGCCCCTTTAACTAATGTCAAACCTGAATATTTGATGGAGTTCAAAGACTACCACCGTACCAACTCGCCCGGTTATTCTTTCTGTCAAAGAATAATAGCCAATAGTAATAAACAAATAAATGCCAACCATTAATTGGTTACAAAGACGTAATTGGTGCAGTGCAGCCCTACGCTACTCTACTCTTCTGATGATATCAGGTAATGTGTAAATGTGTAGGCCAGTTCATAGCAACCATTTATGTCCGACCTATTATATTGAGTTTTTTCTTTATATAAAAGTTATATGAAAAAAGTGCTCTTCCTAAATTAAGCCGCACCACTGAATGTACAATAGCGTGTAACGTTTATGTATGTTCTCAGCGAAAGAAAAGGATGCATTAAAAAAAGGCCAATCATTTTGTTTCCTCTCTGTTAGAGCTTCTTTCACGTACACGCAAAATGTGGGTGTCTACGCCTAAAAGAGTGGAATTGACATTTCCTGCAGGGCTGGAAGGCCTGACTCAGTTTGGCTAGCAGCTTGAAACCTATGGGAACCTGGGGAACTGAACCACAAGAGTGAGAGTGACACCCGCCTTGCACTTCCTGAGCGATGGCACCATGAGGAAGGGGGAGCTGCCCTAAAGTGAATGCAATAGCAGATGGGTCGTTCCAGTGAACCCCTATACAGATGATACCAAGCAGAGAATTATTAATAAATGTGTTATT